TTTGTTTTTTCTCTCTCCTTGTCTTTTTTGTGATCTTTGTGTTTGTGTTCCTTCTCTTTGTGCTTATCTTTATGTTTGTGAGAATCTGCAACACAATAAAGAGAATGTTTTGGAGTCAATCATTGTAAATAACCAGTGTTTATTACATGTGGATAAGTCATACTTCTGAGAATAAACTATTTACAGATATTTTTTGGGAAAGATATAGATGGCTTTGATTCAGTTTGGTCAGAAAATGATTCTATAAGGACAAGCTGATTATAGGAGCATTAAAACCTCGAAGCTCACTACTACAGAACTGCAACAAAAACAGGCACCTAAAAAAACCCTCAAGTCTTTGCAACAACAATATGTTTTAAATCTTTTTCTCAGATCTTTATCAGAGTGCCAATGACTGTGCAGAATGATGTTAATAAAAACACAATAGCTTTATATCTGAAATTATATTAATTTAAACAAAGCTGTGATCAGAAAGATTTTGCAAATAAGGAATTTTAATACTAAAATGATAGAAAGTGGAAATTGACTTTTCTTCAAAGAATTTAAAAGAAAGTAGCCTTGACAAATGCTTTGCTCCACTTAAATGTGATGTTATAAACTTGATGATCACCTGAAATTTGGGAGACATTTTAACCTGCTTCACTGTAAACATAGTTTCCACCGCATAGTTAAAATAGCAATTTGTTTCTCTATGCTTCTGCTGTGCTGATTTTTACATTTTGTCAAAACTCTTCCTTACAAAGAAAACTAAAATAATCTATACAACCTCGACCTAATATATACATATAACAGAAAATGTGCTTAGAATCTATTTTTCATATAAAAAAAAACATGTATTCTGTAACCATTAATGGATTTGCTTCATTTAATACACTTTCTATGTGGCAGGAGACTTTATATCAATTATATTATGTAATAGATTAGCATAAGGAGCACAGTAAAACTATAAAACAAAAAAGAATTAGCTATGGTATTTACTTTTTTTTTTCAGATAAAACTATGAGACAGAGGGGCATGCATTTCATTCACCCTCTTTAACTTTAATAACCATGATACAATTCAACCATGAATCATTGTCTAAGTGGAAATTAATTCAAACTGCAAAAAAAGTAAAACACATTTTTTTCCCCCCTTTGTATTTTACAATTATGTGTTACTTTGTGTTTGTCTGACCTACCATTGAATGAGGTTTGTATTCATAAATTTACAAAATGTATAAAGATTTAAAGACATGAATGTTTTCAGTCTCTAAGAAAAAGCAGAGCACAACTTAGCAAAATTAAATATATTAATTAAATCTTTAAATTCAAGTCAAACTATGCCTAATTTTAGCAAGTGAATTATTAAAATTCAGCCTTCAAACATTCCTCTCTATCAGGGGCAGAGCTAGATGGGGGGCCAGAGGTAGCTATGGCCACCCTTAGCCAATCATTGGCCGCCCCTACTATTTTCTTTCACAAACAGTGGTAGCAGCAATTCCATCAAGAGGAATTTTTAAACTTATTAAACATTTTCATTTTTTATATATTAATAGTTATTTTACAACTAAAACTCTGTGGTAAATTATGCACATCAAAATACTAACATTATAATTGATATATACAGAATTCATTATCTTTTAAGACCCTAGTTTTGTGTTATATGGGATAAAGAGAAAACTATGTCTCTGCAATTCATCAAAGAGTTTTCAGTGTAATCATAGATACATAATTACTTTAATAATAACTTTTAAAAAAATCTATTTAATGTAGATATTACATGTAATATTAATGTTATGCAGAACAATTTTTGATAAAAGTAGGCAATGAAAATGGAAAAGATGTTTCCCCCAGACATTTTGTCCAATATACCTTTTAATTAGACAGCATGGATGTTTAAATATATGCAACTATGTAATCAAAAGGCTGTAGAAAGTATAGTTTGTCTTTATTTAGAAAATATGGTTGTTGGAACAGTGTAGATGGACCCTGAGATTAAAATTTTCTGGCTCCACCTCTGCTTTCTATCATTGAAATATGTTTTAATTTCAACTTGGGATATTTTATAAAATATTTTATAAATGTCATCCCATTTTGTTTTCTCAGGAACAGAAACTCCCAACTTTGTCTAAAAGAGGAGCATAATTAGATTAATCAAAATGACATCTTCTTTCTAAAATGTTAGGGCAGATTCCTTTAATATTGTTCAAAGTTTCTGATCACATATCTTTTTTTTCTGTTGCAGATAAAAGGCTGAGTGGCAGTGATGGAGGCAGAGCGCTGATAAGCGCCCGGCTCTGCCTCCATATCGCGGCGGACAGCTGGCTCACCGAGCGGCGCCCTGGATGCTTCACACAGAAAAGAAAATGGCGCAGAGACTAAGTCCTCAACCCCAATTCCAGCACTTTCGGCTCCAAATTTCACCACAATTGCACCGATATATCATTAAACAAAAGCATGCACAATTAACCCGAGATCAGCCTCTTTCAGAATACCCGTTTACTTTTGAAATCCGAGGTTGTTAAATACACATTTTAGACCCCCTTTTTGAACAATAGCCGCAAGAGAGTGGAGGAGAAGGGACTTAGTCTCTGGGACGCCATTTCTGTCCTTTAAAAACTAACAGTAGACAGGTACCAACGGCTAAGGTTAGAAAACTGCCCACTAAGGATAAAAAATAATAAGAAAAAGACCCACCAATTCCTTTTGATCCGGAGTTGACCTAAAAACAGTGAGGAAAATATTTCTATTAATTCAATTTTAAAAACGCCGGTAGCTTGGCTGTTCAAGTTAGTACTGCAGAAAGACTATACTATATAAAAATGATAATTAAAAAGAACACCAGCAACGCTTTCTCTTAGACTAGTTGCATCAGTTTTATGAGTTATTCGACATTTATTTCTAGTTATTATTCATATTTGAGGAAATTTCAATTTAAAACTACCGAGGAAAATGAGAAAACTTGACTGTGAAGCGAGAGCTACCTGAGAGTCTCCGCGTCCATGATCTCCACTCATGGTTGGGTTGATTTTTGTGAAGAAAGAAGCTAAAGTTACTGTAAGGACGACAGTTAGTGGATGCGAGGTTCAGGGAACCCTCACTGACAGCCTGGAATGGAGTCCCAATGTTGAGCTACTGCGCATGCGCACTCCAACAGAACTCTCTCCTTTCATAAACATCCATGAACGCTGGCATTTATTACTACAGCAATGATCCTAGTATTAAACGTGTCAGGGTTTATGGTTTGCATTTCCTAATTTCACAACCACTTCAAGGCAGCTGTACTGATTAAGTTTCCTTTAACCCTTTATAGGACACTCATTGAAATACTAAATCACATTTTCAGGCCAAGAGTGTTTCAATTTAATTCAATTTATTTATATAGCGCCAATTCACAACACATGTCGTGTCAAGGCACTCTACAGTTCACCAGATCATCCAGTCAAATTGATTCAAAGTAATCTATGTAAGAAAAAAGAAAAAAACTAATTGCATCCACTCATTGACTCAAAGGCAATCCCTCACACTAAGAATCAGAATCAGAAATACTTTAATAATCCCAGAGGGAAGTTACTTTTGTTACACGGTCCAGTTACAGTTTTATATAATATATACACACATCCAACTATACAATATAATAAAGATAAAAAATAAGAATAAAAAGAGATAAAATATATACACAATTAGCTCTTCTGTATATATATATATATATATATATATATATATATATATATATATATATGTATGTACGTATATCTATGCATATGTAAAAACTAAATCCAAATAAAGTGAAAATCCAAGTAAAGTGATAAATCCAAGTAAAGTGATTGTTGAGAGACATATTAGCTGTGCAGCTGCCATCGACACCCTTATATATATAGATGTTGGAGATCGGCCTGTTTTTCCATTATAGTCCTGTTTCTCTGACTGTGACTGGCTGGATGTGCTCTTTTCATCCTCTAAGCATGCTTGTAGCGACAGTGGAGAGGAAAAACTCCCTTTTAACAGGAAGACCTCCAGCAGAACAAGGCTCAGTGTGAGCACCTATCTGCCGAGGCCGACCAGGGTTCAAGGAGACAGAAGCAGAGACACAAAAAGCAACTGTAAAAGGCGGCCCGGTCCAGGGAACACACAGCCAGGCAGACGAGCTCCAAGCCAGCTCCCATGTCAGAGGATGAAGAGAGCACATCCAGCCAGTCACAGTCAGAGAAACAGGGCTACAATGGAAAAACAGGCCGATCTCCAACATCTATATATATATATATATATCTAAGGGTGTTGATGGTAGCAGTACAGCTAATATGTCTCTCAATGATGGTGTCACAGCCAAACAGTGTTTATGGAGGAAAGGACAAAAATTACTTTTGTAACATACAAAAACATATATCAAGGTCAATGTAATAACAACAAAGGGCCCTTATAGATTTAGAAAAAATTGTGTGAAAGGAAAATTTTTATTTACATAACTATAGAAAAATTAATGCTGATACAGGCACTTATATTTTTTACTTTTTTTTAACTTGGCTTATTAACTTTTTAACTTATCAATTAGCTCTTTACATTTTTTCTTGTTAACTTTTATTTTTGCAACTTAATTTACAGTAGGTAATAAATCATTTAAGAGCTCATCGAATTGGTCAAAGGCCAAAATAACATGTACAGCCACGTAAAAGTATCTTTGCTGAATGGCTGTATTTAGATCTTGTACTTCTAGACCTGACTGAGGGAGGGGGGGCTTTATTTGTAAGGGTTATGCAAGGAATCAAAAACAGTAACTTGCCCTATTAAAGGTTAACATAAATTAGAGGCAGTCTAAGGTGGACAGGAACCCACTGTGGGTTACTTTGGTCTAAACTTAGTGGTTTTATAAGTGGATTTATAATGCTGATAAAGAAAAATGTTGGATTTTGGCCTTACAAACAGGAAAAACAAAGATAAAAATAAAAGCTTTAAAAAAACAACAACATACTATTTCAAACAAAGCTTGCAATTTTATCAATTTCCTAAAATATTTTCACAGATTTTTTATGCCCATTTCTTAGTTACACAATCTGTAATCATTGTTCCTCTATTTCAGATGTAGTTTTTAGTACATTTAAGTTCATATACAGCATCCTCTTCAGAAGACATTACTTTTTCATAAAAACAGTTGGTGTATGTTAACTGTTAAAGATGTACATAAAAAAAAAGCCTGCAAGGGATTTGGGACCATTTGCATGAATACATTTAATAAAGTAAATTGATAATCACCATGTGATCAATGTTTTTAAAGGCGTCAATCATCTGCAATTGTCAATCCACAGGTGGGAAGCTGTAAGGTTTGGGAGCTAATAAGCTTAACATTTAATAGTCAATAAGACAGGAGTTTAGCTGCCTTTGTGGCTCATAGTTGCATTGAGAGGTGTAGGATAGAATGGATAAGGGCTTTGTCATAAATCCCTGCAGGCTTTACCATGAAGAAGTTGTTGCTGAAATGCATACCTTAGATTTACTGATCTTGCTACGCATGAAAATTTTCTATAGGGTGGCCACGTTAGGTTTTGGAGACTAGTTAAGGAGACTCAATAGACCTGATGAGTTTGGGGTGGAAACATGGCCCGTTCATATAAAAGTCAGATTTTCGGTGCACGTCCTACTAAGAGAAGACAATCAACAGGGCTATAAACTCACTAAAGGGAATTTCCTTTGACTAAAGACAGTATTAAGATCCTCCAGAATTAGCTGGGGATTGTAATTGGTGAGCAGGACTTTTGATTTTCCCCTTTTGAACTCCTTAAACCATCATTAAATCAAGTATAAAAAAACAAATGATGGACAGGATACAATTGTGGATACAGGCATTTCTAATTAAAGACGATAAAAACCACAGAAATCAGGTCCAACATAATCTCTTAAGGTTTAACGAAAAAAAATCACCAGCATGTCATTTCACAGAACAAGCAGTAGAAAATTTTATTCCATTTTACAACTTAATCATACAGTAAATGGTGAGTTCAATTGTCAATCTTCATGATTAATCCAGCATCTTATAGAAAAAAAAAAAGCACATTCACGCAAACTGTATGCACACATTCTAGCTACAATCACACATATAAGCCTCAACAAAACAATAGCTTCTTTTTTGCCATTAAACAATCTGTACATGGTATCCTCCTCTAATGGAACTTTTAAACTCAGCCAGAAAAACTAAAGTCAACTGATTCACAGCAGGAAACAAAAACATTTACAGTACAGTTCACAGGTAAACAACCACTGTTGTGCCTATTTAGACTTCCTTCGTTTGGCTTGGGTTGGGCTTGCTGCCGTTTCTGTAAAAGCAAACAGATTGGTTGGAGAAAACATCACAGTGTTTCATGTAGCATTTACGACATTGACTTCGGACACGATCGAACCTTTAACTGTAGCACTCGTTCCAGGCCTGGCCGATCTCTTCCTCATGCCGCTATCTACTGCTGGCTCCTCCTCCACCTCCTTCTCAGCTCGGGAGCTCCGTCTGCTCGGGCCCTTGGGCTTCTCTACCGCAGCTCTGGGAGAAGAATCACAAAGACAAACAAGGAAAGAAAACAAGACATAAACCCGTTACTAAAAAGCAATCACCTCTCCTTTGCTCAACATTGTAATACCAAAGAAGACTGCTGTTTTTCCTCATCTACCACAGATACTGTCCATCTTCATCCCAACAGCATCCACGACTACGTCGACATGATCACTGCTTCTGTCTTTGCAGCACAACCATGTCAAAATACATACCTTGGGACTATGTTGATGGGCGTCTTTCTTTTCTTTGCCCATCTGTGATAGAAGTGGAAAAACAGCGGTAAACTATCAACTGTGCTGTACAAACAGTTTTACTACCTCACCATATCATGACAATCCCAATGTGGAGATGCAGCCATGTTGTAATGATTCCATTTTCCTTTGATTTGACTTTTGAATATCATATAATCTCATGCTCATCATACATACCAAGCTCCAAGGCCTTTGTTCATCATGTACCCCAATGGCCAACCCCAAAAAACCTCCAAAATGTTTCAATGGAGATAGAAATCCTTAAGAATCTCCCAAGATTGGTTTTGATTTTTGTAAGATTAATGATAAAAACAAACATCTTAGAACCCCCAGCACCCAAAACAAGCAGAGAGGACAGCAACAATAATGTAGGAACCTTACCCCTGCTCAGAACCTGTTGAGACGTCCTCACCTGGTAAACACAGGGGCAAATGTTATTTAAGAAACCAATCAAAAGGTTAAAACAATTGAATTCCCCCTTTAAAAAAAAAGAATATTCTGATAAAGGAAATTAGACTGTTTACCCGTCTTCTCAGTCAAGGCAGGTTCCTGTGAAGCTTCTGGTTGAACAGGTGCTAAAATACGAGTAGAAAGAACATAACTAGCAGTAGTGAAAAATGTCTACATGCCCAAAACACTTTAAACATTTGCTGAGTATGTACCAGGTGTGCTCTGTGTAGCTTCAGCAGGTGCTGTCGCTAATGGCATTGAAGACTCTGCAGCTGGGGCATCTGACTGAATCGCAGGGACTCCGCTGGTAATACCAGAGGGAGAGGAGGTGATGTGGGAAGCCTCACCAGGTCCGCTTGCAGCAACAATTGGAAGAACAGATGTTACAGATGATTGTATGGGAGTGACTGTAGAGAGCAAAGTACTGGAAGAAACCCCAGCACCTACTACAGTCACTATAGGTGCTTGAGAATTTACAGGCGATGGTTGATTTGGGACTGAAGCCGCTGCAGGAGCCTGACCAACTATCTGAGTGGGAACCGTAACTTGGCAGGGGATTTGAGAAGGAACTAAAGATGGATTACTATTTGAACTAACAAGAGTAATATGAGGAGCTTGTCCTTCAGTCTGATTAGCAGGGGAAAGAAATGTCTGCTGTGGGATACCCCCCGTATGCCCTTGTGCAGGTCTTTCTACAGTACTTTGCTGGGAATCGCCTTTGCCTGAAACGGAGACAGTAGCTGATGTAGACATTTTCATTTGGCCAGTAGGAGATGGAGGCACAGGACTCTTTCGAATGGGGTTAACAGCCATAGGACTGGAGCAAGGAGGGGGAGAAGTTAAAGGCGACTGAAAGGAAGTTGATACAGAAGCACCTGGGTGAGGGGCAGGTTGATTGACAGGGAGAGAAGATTTCTGAGAGGAATTTATCTCACTTGGAGTTTCTGGTTTGATACCTCCCTGGTTAAACTGCTGAGGAGTTAAGAGAGTACTAACTGGCCCTGGAGAGGACATGCTAGTGGCTATGTGGACCTGTCCAAGAGAACTCCTATTAGACTGAGGGCTTGTCATTGTAGCCCCAGTGTTCTGTGCCGAACTTGGGGCATGAGAGAGGTGAATGTTTGCAGCAGAGACCTGCAGGGAGCCCACCATGGTGACAGACTGTGACACAACTGTTGAATTGGTAGCCATAGAGGAAGCTGGGACCTGGAAAATTGGGTTAATAAATACAGGCGTAGTGGTAATAAGTTGTGCAGGTCTTGGACCGGAGCTCTGATACCGGATGTCCTGTGGTCTTATATTTTTATTAGGGACAGCAACCATGGTGGATACCATAGATGTAGGCACCTGTGAAGTGGGGGCAGAAGTGATGGGGTTTGAGGTTACAAACACTGTTATCTGGTTGGGAGAAATGTTGCTTGATGAGGTGGGAATCTGAATGACAGACTGAACACTTGTCACAGGTTTTGGACTAGGGCTTGGTTTAGGAGCTGTCGTGGCAGGGTTTACTGTAGAGCTGGCACTAACCGTGGATGCAGAAGTGTTCTGACTGGAAGTAGGCGCACTGGTACTTAGACCGGGACTGGGATTAGTGTTACTACAGACTGAGCTGGAAATAGTAGTTGCTGAATGTACATTTGGATTTAAAAGGCTGGGTAATGGGGTTTGTTTAAGACTGAGGGTACTACTGGAGTTTACAGAAGTGGGAGGGTGTGAGCTTGGAATTGAAGTATGTGGCATGGCAGGGCCACTAGCAGGATTAAGGGCAGATTTAGATATAGCCAGAGTGTTATTAGCTGAGGCAGCTGTAGTAACAACAGATGTTGACTTATCTGCATTCTGAGAATTTCTGGATACAGGCCTGTCTGGATCCAAAGCAGACTTGTGGTTGTCATTCCCTGCTTGCGTTGGCCGCAGAGACACGTTTGGAATATTTGCGTTATCCAGTAACTGGTTAAGAGATGTTGGAGCTGCTCTAAGAGCAGGTGAGACATCCGGGTCCTGTCCAGTTGCTGGGTGTACTGAGGGTCTGTCAACTGTGTTAGCCTGCATATCAACATCTGGTTTGGGAACCTGATGTATTGGCATACGAGGACTTGTTAATCTAGGCGACGATAAATCCCTAAACTGCTGCGTCTGGGCTTGAGGTTGGGTTACCTGTCGCTGCTCAGGTGGCATTGTTCCCTGATTGTCCCTAAATCCATCAACAGGGTTTCCATGAATACTATGGAGGGAGCTCTGGCTCTGCTGTGTCTCTATGCCTCCGCTGACTTGTGAAGGCATAGATACTGGACTTTGAGGTACAGAGGAAGGACTTAGCATCATGGTTTGTCCTTGAGGATTCAGCACCTGCTGCTGGTGAGGAGGGCAGCTCATGGTATTTTTTGTCACCTTTTGCCTTCCTGGACTTGGAGTGGCTGACTTTCGACTTGAGGCCGGACTCGACCTACGACTGTTGCTAGGACTTGCCCTCTTATTCTGGCCACCAGTCTGTTTGTCTTGTTTTGCACCTAAAGCACCAGCACTGCCCCCAGCAGACTGAGGATTATTTGCATTATTTCCTCCTATATTGCCATTATTGTTGTTTCCTGGTAGGGTTAGGCTAGGGGGAGCCTGGCCAATGGCTTTCAGAGTTGTTGGGTTTAGACCTTGCTGGTCAAATCCCCTGTTAAGGTTTGGCTGTCTTGGAGGAAGAGGAATGTTAATTTTGGGAGGAAACAACCCTGCAATGGAGGCATTTAGTCTCTCAGGTGAAAGGTTGATTTCTGAGGGCTCAGTGCTGGGTGGTCGATTAGTTGGAGTGAGAGGATGGTAGGGCCTGGGGCTTGCCCTGTTTGGGGTTTTGGGCCTAGAGCTCTGTGAAGATGTAGGGACACTGGGGAAATGAAGGCCAGGCATGTGGCCCCCTTGCTGAGACTGAGTGGTTAACTGCTGCTGAGGACTGGCCCCAGTATGCTGAGGCATCTGTGCTTGACCAGGACCTTGCTTCATCATTTGAGGGTTGGAACCTTGGCTGGGAACAATCTGCTGAGTCCCATTTCCAGGTTGCACTCCAACTTCTGAGCCACTAGGCCTGTCTTGTTTTGTGTGGGGAGCAGAGGAGACTTCCTCAGACCCACTGGTTTGGGGTCCCTGTGCTGCTTCTGGGTGAGACATTCTTCGTGCAGCTCCCGAAAGCTTAAAATACAACAACAGAGTTAAACAATTTACTTTGCACCTAATCAAAACAAAATCAATTCATTCATCCCGATTTGATAGACAGATATAACATTCATATCAAAAGTGATAATTTAACCCCTTACTTGTGGGTTCACCATTAGGGAAATCCCCCTGGCTTTGTCAGGTGATGGTGGGACACCACCATGGCCTTGAAGGTTGATCATTACAGGCATGTTGCCCTGCTGTGAAACAGGTTGCCTCTGCACCTCTGTTGGATTGCCTATACTCCGGGGAGGCATTTGCCCTCCTGGTGGAATGGGCATGCGATTCTTTGATTGCTCCTGTTGCATCTTTAGCATAATCATCATTTGCTAGAAAGTAAAACAGACAAACTTGAGCAATGAAACAAAGCCCCACCCCCTCCAAAAAAAACAAGTAATGAATGTGTAAAATGACCATACCTGCTGCTGTAAGTTTGGCTGCTGCAACTGCTGCTGTTGCGATTGTTGCTGCTGCTGTTGGAGCTGATGCGGGTGCATCTGAGGTTGGCTTTGACCTTGAGTTTGTGACCCCGGCATTCCTTGCTGTGCTTGAGCATTCTGTATATTAAAGTTTTGTTGTTGTTGTTGTTGTTGTTGCTGCTGCTGCTGCTGTTGTTGCATTTGCTGCTGATGAATTTGATGTTGCCTTTGCTGCTGCAGTAAATGCTGCTGTTGCATTTGCTGCATCTGATGATGTTGCTGCTGCTGCTGTTGTTGTTGTTGTTGCTGCTGTGGTTGATGATGTTGTTGCTGCTGCTGCTGTTGTTGATGATGTTGTTGTTGATGATGTTGCTGTTGGAGCTGCTGCTGCTGCTGTTGTTGGTGAAGCTGCTGCTGCTGTTGTTGGTGAAGCTGCTGCTGCTGTTGTTGTTGATGAAGCTGCTGCTGCTGATGATGTTGCTGCTGCTGCTGTTGGTGAAGTTGTTGTTGCTGCTGTTGCTGAAGCTGCTGCTGTTGTTGATGAAGTTGCTGCTGCTGCTGTTGTTGTTGTTGATGAAGCTGCTGCTGTTGATGATGTTGCTGCTGTTGCTGTTGTATATACTGCATTGGTACCTGTTGCAGAACTCTCTGTTCTCCAGTCTGACTGGGAAAGCCTGCTCAAAAGTAAATGGATCATATTCAGAAATAAACTGAAAAAAAAACCTATAAAACATTCTTTAAAAATCAATTATGTAACATACTAATGCATGACTTAATTATTGTAGTAAATAACTAGCAGCAAACTAAGGTTTTGTTTCCTAAAATTTACCTGCAGGCCTATTAGGAAAATCGGGGAGTTTTTGGCCAGAGCTTTCCAAACCCAAACTCTGTTCCCCACCAAGGCTTGGCAATTCAGCATCTTCCATGCCAACAGTCCCATCAAGACCACTATGAGGAGAAGCACAAAAATGAGCCTTGTGATAAAACAAGTCAATGTTCCACAAAACTGTAACAGAACCATGAATTACAGTTCTTACCCAAGTCCCTCTACTTGTTGTTGTCCATCAGCCTCTTTAGGCTTCTTCTTTCGGGGTGGTTTCTTCTTTTTAGGTTTAGCTGGATTATCCCCACCAGCCCCCTGTTTTCCTCCTGGTCCAAACTGACTAGCTGAGATATCACTCTGCAGCAGATTGACGAGCAGTGGGCTCGTCAATGTAACATCTTTGCTAACAGGAAAGCCAGCTGGCTGTCCACATGCTCCTCCAACTGTCATCTGACCAGGAAACTGCGGGTTAAAGTTCATGTTATGACCTGGAAAGTGTCCATTACCCATCTGCATGTGCTGGGGACCTCCCATCATGCCTTGCTGTTGCTGAGCTTGCATATCAGAGACCATCTGCTGCACACCTAAGTCCCCTGTCCCACTATTTGGATCTCCAATTACATGTGGATGTTGCTGAGCTGCTTGCTGCTGTTGTTGCTGCTGCTGCTGCAACATAGCTTGCTGTTTCTGTTGTTGAAACTGTTGTTGCAGTTGCTGTTGCTGTTGTTGCAGTTGCTGTTGTTGAATAAGATGATGACCAACAGGTAGTCTCATCTGGGGCCCATGCATCCCCATACTTTGATTAGGATTACCAGCTATTGGGACTTGCTGAGGCTGTTGTTGGTTCATCTGTTGATGTTGGAGCTGTTGCTGCAACTGATGCTGTTGTAGCTGCTGCTGCTGAAGCTGAGCCATTTGCTGCTGCTGCTGTGGAGTCATCTGCTGTGGGCCAACCTGGCCCTGGAACGGAGGCATGTTACCTGGCACATTGGGGGAGGGACCGCGCATTATCTGGCCAGGCAGAACCCCAGGAGGAATCTTCCCCCCAAACGCCTGTTTGTTTCCTTGCATCTGATTAGCAACCATTTGTTCCATCATTGAGTTTTGCTGCTGCTGCTGCAGGAGCATGGCCTGATGCCCTTGGCCTCCAACCATCTGACCCTGCCCATGCATCACCCCCTGGCCTTGCTGTGGCATCATTTGCTTAGGTGGGGTCATCCCTCCTCTCTGCCCTTGACCAATGGTCCTTGAAAGGACAGTCTGACCTCCACCCTGGCCTTGAACCATCTGGCTGGGGGAGGAGGACACAGGCTGGGCCTGATGCTGGAGGCTCATCATTTGGGTCTGGAGGCCAGGCTGCTGCTGGCCCATACTAGCACCGGCCGTGGTACCAGGGGTCGGACCTGCCATACTACTTTGACCAGGCATTATATTGGTCTGAACGTGGGGGGGTCCCTGCATCGTATTTGGAGTGGATGCCGCTGGCTGGCCTCCTGATTTAAAAACCGAAAGAAAAAAAGATTTAAAACATTATTTAACTCTCTAAGAAAAAACAAAAAAAAATAAATAAAAAATTCTGCTTTAATATGGAGAATGAAGGCAAAATGGTTGTATCTTAAAACTGTTTATTAGATATCTATATTGAATTGATCATATGCTATTTATTTTAACAGTATTTACTACATAATTGGGAATTTTATATATTTCTTGCTGCTTGACCCTAATTAAATTGGAGAAAAAGGAAAAATCCACAAGAAATGAACATTTCTAAATAGTCTTGTTGAAAAATACTTCACATTAGAACAATATAATACATTTTAACTAATTTCTAACATCATGTTTCTGCAGTGTGTCTCTTTAATTACCCTAAATTAGTTTTTACCTGTATGAGTAATTCCTTGGTTGTTCTGCAGCTGCTGACCTGCTCCACCCACAGGGGTTCCTGTGGTGCCAGCACTCACCTGACCTTGAACAAAGTTTAAGTTTGGAAAGCCCATGGGACGCTTTCCCATCCCTGCAATCAGTGTCAATCAAATTAGTTATTCAAGCAATCTTCATTACCATTTATATCATTATTTTAAAGTAAAAAAAACGCTACCAAGGTTTACTAACCTGGATGAACTTGGGCTCCAGGCTGCCCATGTTGGGGCATTCCCATGAATCCTTGCTGCATGTTACCCTGTTGCCCTAGAGCTGCTCTGCCTGGTGAACCGACACCCTGGGGGAATCCCTGGGGAGTTGTAGGTCGCTGAGCTATCATAGGAGGTGTCCCTGGAGAGCCTTGCTGAAAAGGAGATGAGGACGATCCAGGAGACTTGGCAGTGATGTTGCCCTGTGGTCCAGATGTTGACGGTAGGGGTAATGGTGGTCTGGGTGGTCCGGTGACGGCACCGGGACCAGCCTGTTGGCCTTTAGGTTGTGGAGCAGCAAACTGACCCATTCCTGCCTGCTGTTGCTGCTGTAATTGTCCTTGCCCCATTACATTAAATAATTGCCCAGCTTGCTGGCTGCCAAAGGGATATGGGGGTGGAGGGTGATTGGGGGTCTGAACTGTGGGTAGTGATGGTGGGCGCTGAACCATTTGGTTTTGAGGTGGCGGTTTTCTCCAGGCAGGGCCTCCTTGGGATGCTGGCGGCTGTAGTACACCAGAGGGCAGCTGGTTCCAACCAGGAGGCGCACCCATTTGGCCTTGAGGGTTGAACGGAGGTCGCGGTCCGAGCTGAGAGAGCTGAGCCTGCTGCTGATGTTGCAGTGTACCAGGGTTGAGTGGTCTTGCTGCCTGCAGAGCCTGCATGTGATGTGCGGCTTGAGCAGACATGGGGCCAGAAGCATGTGGAGCACCCTGCTGGTGCTGAAGTTGTTGCTGCTGCTGCTGCTGGACTGACATCACCGGCATCATTGGATCCATCACATCTGAGACAAAGCGGGATATAATCTCTTCATTACTATCATGCATTTTTCAGTAATAAGTTTCCAACAAAAATAATGATATAACAAGAATTAAAGACCCAAACCTGTTTGTAATGGTGGTCTCTGTGCACGAGGATGGATCTGTCCACTGCTGCCTGGTAACATAGGTTGACCCACCATGCCAGGGCCACGTGGAACCATCGATGGGTTCGGCATCCTAACTCCTCCTTGAAGAATAAACAATTATGTTGCAGTTACAGATCCAAACCACAACTTCACTGTTAGGGTATCAGAAAAGATCTGTGTCATGACAGAGCCCGTCCCCCTGAAATCACATCCTAAACCGTGCCCTGCAAAACCTTTATAAACACTAGGAAAACAATCTTTCTTTCTCTCTTCCACGGGTACCATACCATACCAGATGTATTTAGAAAGCCCTTTCAACACCCAGCAGGACCAAAGTGCTATACACAATCATAAGATACAAATAAACATTCATCAATGAAATAAACAGTAAAAAAAAATAAAAAGCAGTAATAAAATAATAAAATAAACACTGATAAAGTCAACATCTCAGATTGTGTTACAAGCAAAGGATAAAAAAAATCTGTCTTAAGAGGAGTTTTAAAATCAGAAAGTGAAGAGGCCTGTCTAATGGCCGAGGAAACGCCATTCTACAGCTTAGGGGCTGCAACAGAAAATGCACACCCCACTCTGAGCCCCTTCAACTCAGCTGATCTAAGGGAGTAAGAGGATGTGTATGGATGAAGCAGCTCAGACAAGTAGGGCGGGGCAAGACCATTAAGAACTTTTAAAGCAAAAAAAAGTATTTAAAATAGAATCCTAAAATGTACTGGCAGCTAATGTAATGAGGCCTAAATAGGCGAAATATGATGAAATTTGGTTGTAGCTGTTAAAAGACCTGCAGCAGCATTTTGTACCATGGAAGCTGGCAAATCCACGAATCACTGATACCCTTATAAATTGCATATAGTAATCCAGCTGACTGGTTACAAAGGCATGGACCACTGTTTCAAAATGCTGATGTGAAAGGTTAGGTTTAACCTTTTGTAGCTTCCTCAAGTTGAGGAAATGTGGTGCAATCTCTGGAACCAGGTTCCATTTTAGGTGGCGAAAGGGACTGCATCCCTCTTGGAAAGAGCTGGGCATTCAATTAACCACAGTCCTGCTGGTACTCTCGTTTATACAACGGATGAGAATTTTTCTTTTTTTTTTCTTTTTCTCCACCTCGAACGACAAAGCTGAGAGCATTGCAAGTGAATCTCTTAAAAGGTCAGTAAGTGCACGGAAGTTAAAGATTCTTCAATATCACCTGTGCTTTATTGGACTGACTTGAGTTTAAAGAGTGGCTGAGGCAGACATACGTTTCAGACTCCAAAATAAATTGTCTCCCCACTCATGGGACAGCAGCAAGTTCAGGATCTTTCCTTATTTAAATGGGTACCTTCCGTGGGCGAGTAGAATTAAGTTAGATGCTGATTTGTTATTAAAATGAACTCCTGAACTATTTACTGAGGATTATGACAAGCATTCAAATTGTGTGTTTTTGACGACACAGCCACTGTTCCCGTCTTCTCATCTCCCTGTGTACCTTTCTTCGGTCCGAGCTCACCTTGTCATATACGCTGCCACCCAAACACGTCTGCGTGTCGGCCATCTTACGGAAGGCAGTTTGGTTTATGGTCGAGCTGTATTTTTATGACCCGGTTTTAGCATGGGCTTACATCTTGTGGTTCCTAGCCTGTTATCCTAACATAGCTGCTAAAGTACCACAGTTAGCCTGCTTGCAGTAGCGCGTTTGAGACCCGCTGGTTAGCCGTTTCTACCTGTGTTTGCTGCCAAGCTATCAGTTGCCATGGCAGCAGGTGTTGCGTTCCCCACATCAGCGCTAATTTTTTATAAAAATCTAAATCCTCTCACATCTAATGCATTAAATATGTTGTTAGTTGTTCATTATTGGATTAAGAGAAACTTAAACGATTTGACTGTTACCACAGACTACTGTCACACATCTGTTTACTATATAACATTTTTTCTGCTAATCTGATGGACAACCCCTAAATGTATCACAACAGCTGAGCTAATAAGCTGAACATTATCAAAGATAATAAATGAGTTCTAAAGAACTCGTTTGAACTCTTATGTTAAATTTATTAGGTTTAATAAAGCACTCCTTTTGGTTCTAATTATTGTTGTCTATGATTATTTATACAGCAGTTACCGGTTTTTTAGAAGAGCCAGATCAACTTTCTTTGAGCAACCTTGATTTGAAAGACATATTAACTAAAACATCCAGTTTTAGTAAACAATATATTCACAATCTGCTCGTAAAATATCACATCACCAACTGTAAATACAGCACCTTGAGTCGCTGAAATCAGCTTTTCCACAGTATTCTAATGCAAACCAATCCTTTTAAGTTTATTTCTTTTCTTCTTTTTTTAAAACACCAAAACTACCCCCCCACACACACACACACACACTTTACAGCCATGTTGTACAACTATTAATCCAACAAAGAAGTGCAGTGTAAGGGCTTAAAAGTATAAAATTGTCTTTAAATAATGTATAATTACACTATGAAATGAGAAGCAAAAAAGTTCAACTTTCATTATTCTTACAAAAAGCTCAAGGGTCCTCTGCAACATTTTGTTTATTACCCTATACATCATCAGTATTCATTAAGTTAAACAATACCTGGTCCAGGCTGACCTGGGAAGCCACCATCCATCCTCATCTGACCGGGTGCACCGATTGGTCCATTAGCTCTTACTTCTTGTCCTCTGTTTGGTCCAACAGCCACATTGATTGCTCCCTCTCCTTAAAATAGAATGTGGAAGAAAACAAGTTATATGTGGATCAAGGCTTTTATTTAGCAACCAAATAAATAATCTTTTTTATGATTATTATACTTCTGTCACCTTCTATTTGCACAGAGAGAATGCCCAGATCTCTGAGCTGCTGCTGGTTGTTCTGGGCCAACAGTCTGAGACGCTCTGCAGCATCTCTGGGAATGTTGAAGGTAACGCGGACACTGTTCCATGGCTCTACATACTGTGGCTGGAGCTTCTCTGAGCCTAAAAGAAAAGAATTCAATGTATTGATAGTGAGATAGCAACATTTAATTCTTTTTATATGGTTGTACTTTCTTCCATCTGTCACAGAAAGACAAATAAGAAGGAAAAAAAGATTGAAGACAGATGGATAGTGTAATTTTCCAAGGTCTATTAGATTTTTCATCAAATCTTGTACAAAATTGTAAAAAAAGAAATGATGCACATCCTACTTTTAAAAAAATCCTAAACATGGTGGCATGAGAAACTTTCTAGAAAATTACAGTTAACTAGTGGGACAAAAAATAAATTTTTTATGTCTTAATTAAATAACTTATAACTTGACTCTTTTATTGTAAGCAGATGAAGATGCTGATCAAAGTAAAACAAAAAATAATAATAATAATATTAAAATAAACAACTAACCCATATCTAGCATGTTGGGTATCCCACTGAGAACAGAGTCAAGTTTCTGTGCAAAGTCGTCATCGTTCATGTTCCCTTGGAAGGCAACAAATACTATGGAGTCTTCATCCTTCGCGCTGGTTCCTTCCATGCCATCTGCATTATCCTCATCGGCTTCAATTGCACTGCTTTTACTGCAACTGTCAGACTCTTCGACTGCATCATCCCCAACACCAGAGTCTCTGTCTGAATCCTGATCAGACTCCATTAGCTCAGTCTTCGGGGATATGCAAGCCATTCTCCCGCTTTTCTAGGAGTGGCGTCTGAACCGTTTTATGCTGCAACCACATGTGATAAAAAAAAATAAAAAACTCAGATTAGAACATGTTACATCGTTCTTATATTATTAAGAGAAACCAAAATATTTCCCCCCCAGCAAGGATCAAAACTATGCCATTTACTAAATACTAAATACAAGCTTAAATAAATACTAAAAAAGTGTCTGATGGTAATCCTAACACGCTAGCTGTAGAGGTAGTTTTGATCACTTTCTGTTCCTCAGAGACTTGCTGGTGGAGTTCCAGGTAATCCACATGTTTTGTGTTTATACATTAGCTTAGACACAGTCACTGTAAGAATGAGGATCCCCGTCAATTCAATTCAGTTTATTTGAATAACAAGTTGGTCTTAGATCTGCTGCTAATCACAACTCAGCTATATCTGATTGAAAGAGAGCTCTTGTTGGATTATTATCTCAAGCTTTGAAGCTGTGCTTCAGTAATAAGCATGATGGTTATTGGTTTAGTCTCCATATCATGGTGATCTGTTCTATTTAGGTAAAAGTCTTAACCTCATATTTCTTCCTATTCACAGACAGTTAGGGCTGTACAATAGTGAAAGTGCAGCGTGGATGAACACTCACTACAGCTGACACAGTCGATAAAATGCAAGCTACCAAAAGGTCCTGCTATGAGTTTGGAGGTGATGCAATAAAATATGAGCAACAGAGAGAATCTTTCTTAATGGTTTTTGGTGCATTAACTACTGAGGAAAGTCGAATAGTTCCCCAGAGGAAAATTACTATTTATCAAAACTATGACCATAGCAGTATGCTTTAAAACTGCACAGCGCAAATTGCATAGCAGAAAATAAGAGAGCAGCAGCTCTCTGCTAATCTGTGCTCCACACACCAACAGAAAACTTTTCTCACACTTTCTGCAGCATGCTATAAAAAGAAAACTTGAAACCATTGGAATGGCATAAAGCCATCAAAGCTTTGATAAACCACTATTTACCTAGCCACTGTATAAATCAAATCACAAAGGATAAATCTAAATTAAAAAAATACAAATATTGGCCTAATCAATAGGGCAAACTTCATACCAGCAAAAATATAAAATTAAAACTTAATTACAAGACAAACTGAAAATTTGGCCTCATGTCATTTTAACAAATGCGTCGTAGTGAGTATAAACTGTGTACAAATACATCGCTATTATGGCATTAGCCTTATTGGGAATACGAAACATTTGTGGCATTTAAAATGTTAAAGATGTTGTTTCATTTAGGTGCTGGTTCTTACATTAACAATGGCAGAAAACCCATAAAATGACGTTATGACTGTGCAGCACACACTAAACACACCTGTAGGTCACATCCATTTGACCGGTGATGTTCAGTCTGTCAAAAGAGTCCAATCTCCAGTTTGAGTGGGTTTCGTATCGCTGTTAATTCCAGTGTAATCAGAATCACCGTGTGCTATTATCAAATGGCTATAAACAATCACTTTAACCCGGTCCGATTTGATTAAATGGTAGTGGGCCGAGCAGGACTGTGGGCCTTTACGCAAATATAAGCCAACGAAATTCTAACGCACAGTTTCCTGGTCCTTAAAACGATTCAACCCAAAATGCAGGCATTACATTCACTCGAAATTCATACGTGTGGCGTGTTACTGTACGGAAAAAAAAAACATGAAATGCATAGCAAAACTGTTTTTACAAGCTTATCTGTAAACTAAAGCTAATTCCAACTAGCTAACCGTAGCTGCGTTAGTAAGCTAGTAGAGAAAGTAGCTCACGACAAATGCACCCAAGCACACCGTTTTGGCAAATAAAGTCTCTTATTTTCTTTTTATAATTTTTGCATTTAATAACAGCGAAAACCCTTACCATACATATTCGCCTGGAAATGTTTAACCAGAGGAAATCTGCTTGCTAGGAAGGCTAACAAAACATGATTCTTATTAGCGCTGTAGCAGAAAGACTTCCGGTTACTTACCAAAATAAAAGTTCATATCAGGAAGAAGAACAAGCAACGGCGTAACATTTTTATTTAATTCCACCATCAGACGTCAAGGTCTTTTTTTTCTTCTTTTTTTAATTCATTTTTGAATAACATTTTCTGGATTGATTTCAGTGGTTTACCATACATATCAATAGTTTTTGCCAGATGCTGTATGTTTGATTTCAAATTATTTGATTTCAAACCTGTTAAATATTACCTACAGAAGAGGATTAGGGCTACTGGGGAAAAAAAAAAAAAGTTAACTGATTTTTAAATATTATTTCAGTCTAATATGGGAAAAAAGTCAGAATTCTTCTAAACCTTCCAACCAATCATATTTTTCAATTTCTTCAGTACAATGTGGTTTGTACCTTGCTGTAACTGTTGTCATGTTCACACTGCTCAGATAATATATATATATATATATATATATATATATATATATATATA